ATCAAAATTTTAACATGATATTTTACTCACTAGATTTCTTGAAATATGACATTAAATTTATGTTAAAAGATTTTCGTTTATATAAAGTTTGTGTTAAAATTTTGTAAATAAAAACTAAAATGGTCACTTTGTAAAAGTATAGGACAAAAATGGAAAGTTTGAAAGTACATGAACTAAAATAAATAAAAGTTGTAATACAAATATCAAAATGTACATTTTAAGAGTATAGGTACCAAAATAAATCAAATTCAAAAATACAGAAACCAAAATAGTATTTAAACCTGAATGTTATTATATCCGTTTTGAACTTAGTATTTAAACTTGAATGTTATTATATCTGTTTTTTAGTTCAAAAGATATAATAGAACGATATTTTTTTAGTACAATAAACGTGGAGTATGATAATTTGAATTTCAGATATTTTTTTTAATATAATAAATGTCAGTAAAAATGGGTATTTTTTTTAATTAACCATAGCTAACTACTTAGACTATTGGTATAGCTTTTCTAAAAGTTAGTGATTTGACAATCTACTCCACATTCTTGTACTTTAAAAAAAAAAAATCTCATTTTTACTAACATAATCAAGTATAACTAATATGTTAAAAATTCCACACGAAAAATATCAAGAAATTAACCAAATTTATAATATATAGACTACTTTTTTATTGTCAATTAATTTTAAATTAGAATTTTATATGTTAAGGATTTCACGTAAAAAAGATCATCCGGACGTTGATATTGTATTTTTACCTTAACGAAAAAAAAAAGTGATTATTAGAATTTTTTATGTCAAGGATTTCACGTAAAACAGATCAATTGGACGTTGATATTGTATTTTTACCTTAACTAAAAAAAAAGTGTTATTATTAGAATTTTTTATGTCAAGGATTTCACGTAAAAAAGATCAACTGGACGTTGATATTGTATTTTTACCTTAACTAAAAAAAAGTGTTATTATTAGAATTTTTTATGTCAAGGATTTCACGTAAAAAAGATCAACGTTGATATTGTATTTTTACCTTAACGAAAAAAAATGTTATTATTAGAATTTTTTATGTTAAGAATTTCACGTAAAAAAGATCAACTGGACGTTGATATTGTATTTTTACCTTAACTAAAAAAAAGTTATTATTAGAATTTTATATATCAAGATTTAACGTAAAAAAGATAACGTTGATATTTTATTTTTACCTTAACGAAAAAAAAAAGTTATTATTAGAATGGTAATTAACAAAAACGTTGGGGGGAATGAAAGGTAAATTATTGAAATGGGCTCGAGGCGGAGGGGTGCGGCGGAAGGAATAAGATATTGTCGGAATTCACAATTTCTCTTCTCAGAGTTTCAGAATTACCGCGATATTAATGAGATCACTGTGGGCCCCACCCTCCCTCCTTTTCCCACGTATAATAAACACAAGTACACAGCCAAACATAATTTATTACGCACAAATAATTATCTCATCACCTTTTATCCATTTTAAGTTTTAACTTTTAAATTAATTTATTTTTTCGGTTAAATTATATTTTGATCTATGTTTTTTTTTCCCGCTTCAATTTATTTTAATATTAGTTGTTTGGATCAAGCCACACTGACCAACCTGTTCAAACCGGTTCAACAAAATCGACTTAATAGGTCGATCTTGGTCAGTTAGCAAGAGGAGTCAGCTGCAGTATCTCATCCACCATGCCAGGGAATGGACTGGTCAATAGCAATGACCAGAGGTCGTTCGGAAGAGTCCTGCTAGAGCAGATAAACATCCTGATGGGACGGCTATCTACCTCATCGACCACTATAAATACACCATTCCTCCATGGGCCCAGGTATGAAATATGTCTGAAGCTGATATGTTAAGCTCGGATTCCTAAGTGACTTGGACGTCAGAGTGGCCTACCTGTTTTACAGATATCCCTAAAGAACACTTCAAGTATTGCATCCCGACCTCCGATGTAATTCTCCATGCCTTGGTAGATTTTTGCATCAACATTAGTCAATATACTTTTAAAGATAGTGCCTAGCGGAGGACCTGTGGACTGTCTTAGAGGTATGATTTTTGTTTTATTTTCATAACGTCGATTTTGGTTCTTATACTTTTAAAGAACGGTCGGTATTTGTTTGTAAAATTTTAATACAAATTTTATACATAAGAAAAACCTTGTAATACAAATTTATGACTATGTTTTATAAAATTTGGTGAATGAAATGTCATGCTAAAATTTAGATTGAAAAAAATAAGATTCAAAGGAAAATGAAAGATACCAAAATGGTTACTTTTTAAAAGTACAATAATGACTAAATCAACATGAACGTTTTGAAAGCATAAGAGCTGAAGTGAACAAAAGTTGGAAGTATGGGATCAAAATGAGCACTTTGAAATTTAAGGACCAAAATCAATTAAATTCAAAAGTATGGAGAACAAAATAATATTTAAATTAATTGTTAAGTTTTCAAAGTATTGATATATTCACAACATAAATCTGGCTAATAGGTTCGAGTTTTTTCTTTATGATTATTATTTTAGTTCAGCGAGAATCAAACTATCAATTTAAAAAAAGTAATTAGTGTCTTGTATTAATAATTTAATATTGATGTTGGTAGTATGCGAGCAGATATTAGAGGATAGAATAATGACAATTATCAAAACAAGTTATTTTTTAAAGTTCATAAACCACAAAATAGACCATAATTTTAAGATTTAAATAATACAAAGTTTTTATTTTTTATATTTTTATAGTATAAAATATGGGAGGGAAGATGGACCTCACAATCTTGTGATCAGATATATATGTCAGTTATTATGAACCTATACTCACTTCGACAGATACTAAAATAATTATTTATTTAATATTTACGTAGTTTAATGAGATTTAAACTTTTTTTTTTCTTCTGGTATTTCAGTCAACGTATCAAAATACTAAAATTTAAAATTTTAAGAATAGAGGGAGAGTGAATTATTAATGCAAAAACATTAACCCAATTTAATATTTTTTTTTATTTTGTTAGAATAAATGTAACGACTTGACATTAGTAAAATAAAGATAGATATGAAAATGTTTATATGCTGAGGTAATTTTGATAACAAAAATGTTTACCATATTAAAAAGTAGCATAATTGAGAATCATTTTTCTACCCACTTGCTCATTGGGTATAATTTTAAAATTTCAAATCTACACTTGATAATGATAGTTTATATTTTATTTATTTTATTACTTTTATTACATTTAAAATAATATGTGTGTTCTACAATTAATACCAATCATTTTAAATAAAAACTGTTTTTAAATCTTAGTCTGTTTTTTTTAATGAAGAAACCAACTTTAAAAATCTTTTTCTATTTTTTCAAATTGGTTAAAATTTTAAAAAATAACATTTAAAACACTAAAATACATCAAACATGTATTCCACGTCAAATTTTTATAGTAACATTAAAAGAGGGCGATTATGAGAATTATACCATATTTAAAAGTGAAAAAAAAACCATATTTTTTAATTATTTTTCAAAAATTATAATAAAAATATCAACAGGATAATCTAGAATTATTAATATTCAATTAATATGCAATGACCATGGGACATTCAAAATAGGTAGCAATGATTCATGCTGCAAGTAATGATGCTTATTACAATTTTTTTTAATTAACTTTCATAAATTTGAACAAGCCCAACATTATGAACTTTGATTTTAGGGTTAAATAAGAAATAATGAGGGACAATCAATTTCATAGATTTTCATGTATTATTATTTTCTTTATCTTTTGATGCATCATTAAAAAATTTTACCCATCCCATTTAATGCAATATATTTTTCTCACATCAAATTATCACAAACATATATGATGTATTCATTAAACAATCAAAATGCAATCTTTTTTATTAAATGTAGGTTGAAACTTTCAAAAAAAAAAAAAAACAACAACATTTTTGAGATAATCCTTAGAAAAAAAATAAAAAATTCAAAATTTACCATGAACTTGGCTGGAATTTTAAATTTCATCTAATTGTATTTTTAACCGAGATCAATAGTGCAATTTTCATATTCTATTACAACTTTGTTACATTTACCTAATAATTTAAAAATGACAACGTAGGAATCTTCCAAACCCTACAAATTTCAACAAAAATCCACTTTTAATGTCATATTTTTTTAATATCCCATCAATTTCATGTCATATATTTTGATAATAAATTTTAATAGCTCTCCAAACATATAAGGTAAAAATTCCAAACACTAATTGAAATTTAAGGCCTATTTCAATCATAGATAAAAATGGACTCATATTTATTAAAAAAAAAAAGAAAAAGAAAAAGGCTCATATTGCCAAATTTATAGATGACAATTTGATTTTTTAAAAAGAGAAATACAATTTTTTTTCTCCCATAAAATGGATTGCGGATAACCATATATAAATTAAAAAGTAAAAAATTATAACAAAATTTTCATATGTCCATGAGTTCAACATCGACATCAGAGCAGGATCAACATTTTCATAATATTGCATAAAAAATTGACAAAAATATAAAAAAAAACATAGATAGATATCAATAATATAGACATAATATGAATATTAATAATTTTTAACTTATTTTAAAAGACAAATACTTATTTATTAATTTAAATATTTATTATACATTTTACATTTTTATAATTTTTGTAAAAATATCAATCGAAAGGAGTATTTTATGATATTATTGGACTATTTTCCAATGAGCTACTGTTATGCTCTTTTTCTTTTTTCTTTTCCTCTCAAATGGTGTTTAGGAAAAGTGAATAATAATACTGAATCAAAAGTGTCTTTTAGAAAACATATGAAATCTATTGTCCAAAATTTGTCCAAGAAAAAAAGCTTGTTTTTTTGTTTTTGTAATGAAAAAGTGGAGACCACCGGCACCGGCTATAGCCGGTAAAAGAAAAGAGCGAGAAAAAAGTGGGGGGAAGAGCAGGGCAGAGTCGAAGACAAAAGGAGCGAAACATATCAAATGCGAAAGATCTGTGTGTTTTCTTCGCTCCTCCATTTTCATTCTTCCCTTTTGTCCTTTCATCAGTCAGTCCCAAACAAAACCCCCCATTTTCTTTTTCTTTTTCCCCTTTTTTCCCACTCTTCATATAAAACTACCCTTTAATCTCTCCCCTTTTCACTCTTTTGCTTCCCCTGAACCCAGCTGAGCTCCCCTTTTTGCCATTTTTGCCGTTTTTTCTCTGTGGGTCTTCACCGGAATCGTGTTCTTGCTTCTGGGTCTGAATCTGAATGAGCTTGTTTGGACGATTCTGAATTTGGGTTCATCATTGGTTGGTTTTTTTTTAATCCAATGGGTGAAACAGAGGTGGGTTCGGTTCTTAGCCGCATTTGCCGCAGTAACCGCTGGTCCTACGCCGTTTTCTGGAGTTTTGATCAAAGAAATTCCATGTAAAGCTTCTCTACCCCCCATTTCTTCTTCGAGACTTGGTTTCTGCTCTTTTATCATTCTTGTGGTTGCTTTGATCTTCTTATGCAATAATGCAATGCAACTAGTTTTGCTTCGCCTTCATTTCTTGTAATATGAATAACTATGTACTCTGTTATCCGTGTAGAAGGTTGTGTTCGTGTCATTTCTTTCGCAATTAATATTGATGGTCACTTGTTGGGTTTTTGTTCGACTTGTGCTGATCTTCAAGTTATTGAGCAAGGGAGAGTGAAGAATATGAATAAAATACTAAATATGCCGTAAACTTTTGCATTTCACGGGTCATTTCTTCGGGATTTTGCTAATTTTCAAGCCTTCAAGCAAGGGAGGACGTTAAAAATTGAAATATACTGTAACCTATCAGCTTAAGATTGTACTAATTTTCAAGCCCTAAATGAGGAGTGGCAAGAACACGAATAAAAGATCAAATACACAATAACCTATCAGTATAAGATTTAGTAGTCAGTCATTTCTTCCCCAAATAATACTGGTTCTGTTGGTACTAATTTTTAAGTATTAAGAAAATGAATGAAAGATTAAATATACCGTAATCTATCGGGTTTTTTTGACGTTTTTGAGGATGTAACATGGTTTAGCTTACAATAGGTTGTGTTGTTGCTATGTATATAGGTTGTTGACTTTAGAGGATATTTGGTATGAAGAGCAAGTGGGGCTGATAGCCGCTAATATGCTTCATCAAGTCCACATTCTTGGTGAAGGGTAAGCTGTCTCTAATCTTTATTCTTTATGTCTATATGCTTTTTCTTTTTCCTTGTAATTTCCAATATTATGGTCTGTTTTCTTGAAGCAAAGGGTTGAAAGTTTTTGTTTGTTTCATTTTAATTTGGCTGTTTTATTCAGAGTCATTGGCACTGCTGCTTTCACTGGAAAGCACCGGTGGATATTTTCAGATGCTTCAATTGGAGAATGGAATTCCTCGATATTTCAGGTACGTCTCGGTCGCGGAGAAAGGAGGGAGGGCAATTGTCTTCTTAGTTCGTGTTAAATGAAAAAAATTATATTAAAAAGTTAAGATTTTAAAGTTTTTCACTCTGATGTAAAATTTTGCCTTCACAATAAAAATTTTTGGCTCCACCCCTTAGGCTTCAGGGTGGAGCCAAAAAAGGAAGGGGGCAATTGTCTCTCTTAGTTTGTCTTGAAATAGAAAAGTTCTTTAAAAAAATTGAGATTTTAAAATTCTCTCTAAAATTAAAAAGTTACATGTATAAAAAGTTAGAAGGTAAAATTTTGTCTCTTTCTAACAGCTTAATTTAATGCTCTTGATCTCTTCCTGATTCTGTTTCAGATTCTTCGTTATTATATTTCTGTGATCTTTCAATATTTATTATGCCTTAAACATACAAACATCTCCAAATCTGGAAGATTGTATGTAATCTTTCACTTATTGTGTCTTAAACACTTTAATTGAACATTTCTTTCCATTTCTTTTTCCAGGACAATTTGGAGTTTCAACAACAATTTTCCTGTGGGATAAAGGTATGCTGCTTTTCTTTTCTTGTTTGTTCATTACAAAACACCATTTCATTTGATAAAAGTAATAATTTTTGGGCGATGCAATTATTTCGATTTCAGACTGTTGCAGTAATTCCTGTTCATCCTCACGGAGTGATGCAGCTTGGCTCTATTCATAAGGTTATATTGAAACTCGTGTACACTTCTAATTCTGTTTATCTAGCCTGGCAGAAGTTTGAATAGTTTGGTCTGTTTTTGCTGCAGATTTTGGAAAGTTTGGAGTTTTTAGCAGACGCAAAGAGATCACTGAGTCAAGTGATCAATGGTGATGAACTTGTAGCAATGAAAACTACTCCCATGGTTTCGAGTGCTGATATTTGTCACAGTCACTTTAACGAGCTTTTAACGTCCATAGTCTCGTCTGCAAATGCAGATGATTGGAGCCTCAGCGCTATGCATAATAACAACCATACAGACTTCACAGGGAAATCTTATGCTTCAATTGAAAAACAGCAAGCCTTTGATAGTTCCTACTTCAGTAAAAGTAGTTGTGAAACTTCTGTGCTGACTTCATCTGAGCCACTACCAAGATCCGACGTTAGAGAACAAGATGCTCAACATCCAAGTTATTTGGACGGTCATATTCTCGAATCTTGTATAGACGATATGGATTATGGAAACCAAAGCTCGACATTCGCATCGGTGTCCAGTAGAACCGGTTTTCCCCATACGGACAATGTTCAGCAATCAGTTCAACTACTTCCTCTGACTGAGGGTGAACTTATGGAAAGTGTCACTTGCCTACCTGACTTCCATGACAAGCATATTTCCGAGGATTTTACTATGGATCTCCCCGACATCTCCCTCGTAGAGGATCTATTTCAATGGTTTGATTCTTCACCAGAGATCAGACCCAATGGAGCAGCAACTACTACATTGAACGATAACCTTCCACAGTCCGTAGGAGTTCCCACATTGTCATCTAATCTGGTTGAAGTTAATAAGTCTACGGACGATCTGACCGGCGTCTCCGCTCAAAGTTTAATAACTCATGGATCTCAATCCAGTGGACAAGACAAAACAGTAAGAATACAGAATGCAAAAGATAGACTATTTGACAGTTTGGGGTTGGATACAGGATTTCCAGTGGCCAAATCTTGGGATAACTTGATAACAGAAGCTCATGGCAGTTACTCGGGTGGGTGCAACAGTATGTCTACGTGCACTTCGAAGTTAGCAGATGGGTCGTCGGATCTTCCTCGCAAGAGATTATTCTGGGAGTTGGGAATTGAAGAGCTTTTGGATGGTCTAAATAACACTAGCTCTGCTACTAAGTCAAGTGTTGAGAATCATCAATCATCTGCCTCAAAAAGGTCAAAGATGGAAAGATGGTCGCTCGACAGTAATCCGATCCAATTAGCCGATCCATGCATCAACATGAATTTGACACAACCTTTGTGCACGGTTGATCGTTTCCCATGTAAGAAAGATGCTGTACCAAAGTCACAGGTAAGTTCATGGATTGATGATAGCTATAGTACCAATATTGGGGGCTCCCTCCTAGAACTATCTCAGAAGAGTGAGGAGCCTGCTAAGACCAGTAAGAAAAGGGCGAGACCCGGAGAGAGTAATCGTCCGAGACCCAAGGATCGGCAACAGATCCAAGATCGTATCAAAGAGTTGAGAGGAATTATCCCTAGTGGTGCAAAGGTACATTTCGAATTATATTGCACATCTGATGATAATGCATCAATGTTTCGTTTTCAAAACTATTGCCATCATCTATGCTACGTTCAAATGCAATATTTGGCATACCGATATCTGTTGTTAAAATGTTATTTTTGATTGATGGAACAGTGTAGCATTGATTCGTTGTTGGATCGTACGATCAAATACATGCTTTTCTTGCAAAGCGTTACGAAATACGCTGACAAGCTTAAAGAAACTAACAAACCAAAGGTCAATACTTGATTCATTTTCCTCATTATTTTCTTGCAACTTTACATCTACTAATTGACTAATATATGTAAAAACTGTGTCTTGTACCCAAATTACAGTTGATTGACCAAGAGAATGGAGTGGCCTTAAATGACAAATGCACCATGGAGAGAGGCAGTGGCGGAGTTACTTGGGCATTTAAAGTGGGAGCAACACCAATGGTTTGCCCGGTCATAGTCGAAGACCTTAGCTCACCTGGTCAAATGCTCGTCGAGGTAGGGAAACCGAGAGTCTTCTCAAAAGCTAGTTTTGTGCTCGATTGTCACAACCTTTTTTGACGTTGCTTGATTGCTCTTTGTTTAGATGTTATGCGAGGAAAGGGGCTTCTTCCTCGAGATAGCAGACATGATTCGTAGCTATGGATTGACGATTTTGAAAGGCGTGATGGAGATTAGAGAGGATAAGATATGGGCGCAGTTCGTCGTGGAGGTGAAGCTAAATGTAAGTAACCGAGAATTCTACGAACAAGTAACTTCACGCCCTTCAACAATTTCTCTAATCAGGTTGAAAAAACTTGTTTTGCAGACTAATCAAAGCATTACGAGGATAAATGTATTTTTGTCACTCATGGAGCTTCTACAACAAGCAAACATTGGTGAAACTGAATTACCTAATCATCAGTCAAACAATGCTATGGATAGTGATGTTCCTCTCATGGATTGTTTCCAAAATCCAACTTTGCAAATTCCCATAACCTTGGCAGAGGCACTCCAATGACAGATTTCAAGACCGAACACTGTTAATTGTTGTCCGTGACGACCGAGGAAGGATTTTTGGCTCCTCAAGAACAACTTTGTCCTTACTACCAGTAAATATTTGACAACTCATTATTTTTTAAAGGAAATTTTTGTTTTACATTTCTCTCTCAATTGTTAAATGTTTAATGGTGGTAAGGATAAAGTTGTTCATTGCTAATGAGGAACTAAGTTTTATCCGATGTGGAATTAGAGTTTCTAAGTTTGTTCTTTGTACATAAAAGAGGACATGAAGTTGAGCTCTTTTTTTTGCTTAATTGTTTGTTTGTCGATCAATGCCTTAACTTGTGTATATGCTAAAACTAATAATAACTTTATTATGCATTGCTATCTTTGTTAGAGTAATGACATGAATGGTTATGCCACTCAAAATAACAAAACCTATATAAATTTTGGTTAAATATATGTTTTACTCTCAAATAGTTTAGTGTTTTTTCAATCTAGTAATTTTTTCTTGTCAAGAAGAGTTTTAAATTTAGTTGGTTATATTTTAACCTTTTCAATTTTATATATTTCATGGGTGAATATTAAAATTGGTGGATAATAAACTTATATAATGTGATATTTAACGAGTTGATAAAAGTTTAAAATAAAAATTAAGTCATATAAGAGAGGAAATATTTAATTCCTTCAAAATTCTAAAGAAACTTACGACATAAATAGTATTAATGTGGAACGGAAAGAACTTGCTATAGCACCACTATGGAACTCGGCTAAATGCTCTTTGATGTCTAAGTTATAACTCAGGTGGAGTGAAGGAATATGATAAGGAAGATACTGTGAACGCTTCGATACTCCATACTCTGTGCTCTTTGATTTTATCAAAGTATTGGATATCAAACAATGTTTTGAATGTGAGGCTTCGTTACTCCATACTCTGTACTCGTCGTTGCAAAAGCAAAGCAACAACATAAAAGAAGATTCCTTAACACCTAAATCGTTTTTCTACCAGATTTCAGCGGACAACCTGCTAATACAAAATATAGATATCAAAATCAACATTTTTAAAATTTAAAAAATAAAATGAATGAAAATTTAGAATTACTAAACCAAAATGGTATTTAAATATCGTTTTAAAAGTTGAGAAAAAAGAAAAACAACTAATTTAGTAGTTCAATAGCAATAGGAATTAGGAAAAAATTCATCAACTTTGTAATTTCGAAATACATCCGCGTTCCCCCGTGAGTGGGAGAAAACCCAAATCTGGAACCAGTTCTTCTCCTCTTCGGGTCTGGTCCGTCCTCCGTGCTCGGAGCTGAGAAACCATGGAAACTCCATCAGAGCCCACAGAGGAGAGCATGGCGAGCATCAAAGACAAGCGTCAGCAACTTGAAACTCGCATCCTCACCCAACATTCTACCCATTTGGAGCTCCTCTCTTCACTTCAAGCTCTCGTTCCTGATATCGTCTCCTCCCTCGACCTTTCTCTCAAGGTCGTCTCCTCCTTCAATGGCCGCCCCTTTACTCCTACACCCCTTCTTCCTGAACCCAAAATTAAACTCTCTAAATACCCTTCGTCGGCTAGTAACTCCACACCCCTAAAACCCCGCCCTAATCCTCTGTCGTCGGGAGAAGCGAAACCCGCGATTCAGAAGAATCAGAATGCTAAGGTGGGCTCAGAATCGA